CTTACTTGTTCACTTTGCATGCGGAGCATGTTGGAACATTTGCTGCGCAAACAGGAAGGCACACATTCGAATGCAAGTTGTCAAACAAGGCGACTTACTTTACTTTCACTAAGTTCACGATTGTGTGTTTAATTAGATTTTTTTTTTTCTAGAACATCAGTGAATTTATTTTGTTACCAAGATTTCATAACCGGTCAGAGAAATTGGGACTGCAATTCCCCTTAAGTCAAAGAGGCCTTTAGGTGGCAAAAATACATCAAGGAATTTGGAATATTGTATTTTAGAAATGCTTAATGAAGACTGATTTTAGATCATAAACTGGTGTATGGGATTACTCCTCTTGTTTTGTCTTCTCTACTACAGAGAAATGTAATATGGCATCTTCATTTACAAGTTGTGTAGCAACCTAGTGACAACTAGTGAATCGGTTCAGATAAGTTTAGGCGAAAATAGACATCTGTACAATGTGATTAATCTTTTATATATATATGTTCCTGTTTTTTTATTAAACTAGAATCAGTACCATTTTTACAGACCTACGAGAATGTTTTGTCTGTTTATGCAGTAAATTTTGCATAGTTTAATGCAAAACTGTGCCTTCAGCTAACTAATTTGATAAAGTTGTGAGTCAAGTAAGTACTCGACTCATCATTGGGTGTGTCTTAGTTTTTTTGTTTTGCATTTCTCAGTACAGCAAAGCAGAAACTGAAATAAAGGGAAACCATGTGTTTAACAAATATTACTCATCTTATGTCCAACGTTCTGTTGGTCTGTCAGAAGGCCTATTTCCTTGTTATATTGTTTAGAATCTAATCCCTTACAAGAACCCATTTATTAATACACCATGTGTCAATTCTGTGTGGTTGGGATTAGGGCTAAAGTAATGTTACAAGCATGGCTTGTGTCAGGTCAATAGGGCTGGTAGTCTGGCTCTTGTCAAGGAAAAAATTGTTTAAAAAAATGATTGAATTTTAACCTTTTTAAATGTCTCAGCTGCCAGCTCTGACCACCTGGATGCTGATTGCTTCGTTTGCATCTTCTTGAGTCATGGAGAGAATGAGTATGTTTATGCCTATGATGCCAAGATTGAAATCAAAGAAATCACTGCCTTGTTTAAGGGAGACAAGTGCAAGAGTCTGGTGGGAAAGCCAAAGATCTTTATATTTCAGGTGAGAGTTCTCTCTTTAAAACGGCAGCACCTGAAGACTTGGGAGCTGGTAAAACAAGCTCAACATGCTTCTTATTTCGAAGCAACTCACTAAGCTATTGTTTATTGTAACTTCTGTCCCAGACATGCATTTTTAACAAACGGTTGTAATCAGTATAGGTGCAATTAGAGATTCCTTTAAATTTTGCTTTCATTATTAACTTTTTTTTCTAAATGATTGACCGGACAACACTATATAGACATTCTTTCAGTTTTGTGATAGAATTCAAGGTAGGCAAGATTCCACCATCAAGTGGTTTATATTTCTATACAAATGGGTTTGCACCAAACACAAAAAGTAATGTAGAAATGTGTAAACTATGGGGAAAAGTTTATTTTTAAGTGGCAGAACACATACAGTAGATGTAAGGAGAAACTTGTTACTTAAAACCCTGGATGTGAATTCAGAAGTGCGTAAACAACAAACATATAATACTTAACTTTCAACTGGATTACTATGCACCTTATAATATTGGCTTGTCTTGACTTCTCTGGGCAGGCTTGCCGTGGTGACAAGCACGATAACCCAGTAATGCCCATGGATGTGGTGGACAATGCCGTGACCAACGAGGTGGTGGTGGATGCTGGTGCTGTCTACACCTTGCCTGCCGGAGCAGACTTCCTCATGTGCTACTCGGTGGCGGAAGGTAAAATCATCCCTGGTAGATGTGGAAGGGTACAGAGATAGTTCTTGTACAAGGAGGAAAATATTGAAATTTGCTGCATAATGGCTTCATAATCCCTTCTGACCCTTCTAGATGCTGCACAAGATGTTATAATCATATGTATAATGCTTTATAGGGACATGAGCAATAGGTGCACAAGAGGTCATGACATTTGTTTTAACATGTCCCTGTAAAGCATTATGCATATGATTTTAACATCTTGTGTAGCAGTCATGAAGGGATTATGAAGCCATTTTGCTGCAGTGTTCCAATCAAGTGTTGCACCTTTGTTTCACATGGAATCTTTATCGTAGAATTTATATTTTAGTACAATGAAGGGAAATCTCAAAGGGGTTTCTTTGTTCAAGGAAAAATGCTAACAAAAATTTTAAATACTACATTTTGAAGTGGAAAAAGATGAAGCAATGCAATGTCTCTCACCGTTTCTCTTGCACAATGAAGTGAGTGTCAACCGTACTGTCCAGCTCAGCCCTTACGGTGTCAGAATATTCTGTTTTGTTAAATGAATTGCTGCCATTCATTCCGAAGCCATTCAAGAAATAAAGATTAAGGTTAGTAGTGAAATTAAAGTCTTTGTAGCGATAGGTTATTGAAGGATTTTTAATGTTTCCTTAATGTATTCCCAGTTCATTACCTCACAGGCAGCACATTTTGCAGCTGTTGAATGCTAATGAAGGACTGAAGTAGAGTTTGCCTTTCATTTTCTGCAAACCTCAAAGAGCTGAACAGATTCTAATGAGGTTTTTTGTGTTTTAATAAAGGCTATTACTCTCACCGTGAGACCATCAATGGCTCATGGTACATCCAGGACCTGTGTGAGATGCTGAAGCGGTTTGGCGAGACCCTGGAGTTCACGGAGCTTCTCACGATGGTCAACAGGAAAGTGTCGTCACGCAGTGTGGGAAACTGTGTGGACCGCAGCGCCATTGGCAAGAAGCAGGTGCCCTGCTTTGCATCCATGCTTACCAAGAAACTTTACTTCAAGTCCAAGAAAGATTGAACACTGCACTCGCTGCACAGGACCCAGCTATGTTTTAATTCTCTTATTTTACATGACGTGTCAATTTTAGGTAGAAAGCAAGGTCTGGGTATTCTGTCCTCTTTTCTGCACCAAAAATAAGTTCATAAATCCCTACCTTTTTAATTAAAATGCTCTTGTGTCCTCTTGCTAGCATGATCACGTAAAATAGAAATGACAAAAAGCATTTCACCATGTTATCCAATAATTATGTTTCTAGTTATTGCCATTGTTCCTGGCACAGGCTATCATAAGTTGTGACTTGATTACTTTCTACATTTAAGCAGATTTAAGTGTGGTAAAAGTGGTAAAGATCCTATTTTCCTGTTCTATTGTCATAGCATAGCAGGGTCATTGGGTTTGGGAATTCTGTTCTAATCCTTGTTGTAATAGGTTTTTGTGAAACCTGTGTATCTTTATTGCATGTAGAGTTTAAATAAGGTCATACACTTGGAGTTATAAAATGAATGAAATTGACACTTTTTTTTAAACTGACTGAATTCATATCCTTTTTATAATCAATGTCAAAGAACCTACCCAGAACTTACATCCAAATTATTTCCATAATAAAAAAGGATGCCTTAGTGTTAAAGACTATAGTGGACATTTTAATTTGTATGAGAACAATCAAATTGAAAATGCTGCTTTTATGGCAGCTTTGTTTGAGCAAACTATTTCACAAGTTAGAATTAACAAAAAGGGAATTTTTGGTTGGATTTGTTTAACTGGGTGATGTCTATTAGTTGAGAATTTGACTTTTTGCTGTATATATATATGGTGCCCTCAGATGAGTTAAACAATTTAAAATGTCTTTTTTTAGAATATTTGGTATTGTATGAAAATAAATGCAAAAACCGATTTAAAGATTTACAGAAGGAACTATAGGGTATGACCTTTGTGAAATAAGCATTTATCTCCAAGTAACAGGGTAGCTGTTGAGAGGAGGTTACGTGGTTGTTGTTGTGTCTAGGGAGCCATATAAAGAATTGATTAGTGTCCATAAGGGTAGGTAGAGAGATTGGGGCAAATGTATTTGCACGTGCATTTCTTGTCAGAAACAAGATGATGAGTATCAGCTGCAGCAGGGTGCTGTGTAGTGTATGTGCACTTAACCCACATTTAAATATTTGCCCCAATCACTCTACCAATCCTTATGAATACTGTCTAACTCTTTAGTTATCTAAATACAAAAACCATGCAAGGTCCTCTCACAGTGAGTGTTGACCTGTTACATCCATCCAGCCAATTTCCAATTACTTCTTCCAATTCAGGGTCACAGGGGAGTCAGAGACTAACCTGGCAAGCAGTGGGCATAAAACAGGGAACACTGCCACTGCTATTGCAGGTCAGAAACGCGCAGATACTGTACTCACAACACAAGCCGATTAACCTACCAGTCTTTGGACTGTGGGAGGTAACCGGAGCAGCTGGAGGAAACCCCTGCAAATACAAGGAAAACACTCCATGCAGACAGCATGTCAGGTCCAGAATAGAACCCATGAACCCAGTGCCATACTAACTACTGTGCCACGGTGCTGCCCTGCCCTGTTATACCTCACTACAATTTTAGGTTCCGAGTCATCCGAGTAGGGGAATGCTCATGTGGTGCATGTACAGTAGGGTCTATCAGCTTCACACTCTTAATTGATTTGATTGACTGTTTTCTTAATCAGTTCACCTGTTATCTGTGATTCTTGGAAGGGTCACAGTAATCTTTTTTTCATATATGCCAAGTTTACATCCCATTTCTAATGGGATTTTAGCATATTCTGTTGACGGACCTTTTATCAGTGTAAACGGCTGGTGTTTGTCTTATTATTTTTACAGGTGTATGAATTGTACTATTCTTTTGCACATAATATTCTTTATACTTGGGAGACTATAACTTTAATGGGATTACTACTTTTTCATACATTTTTGTAAAAAAAAAATAGGCAACAGTGGTTCTTGCAATAAACAAGCTAGTGACTTAATTTTGTACACTTCTCAGGTGATATTTTTGTAATATTTACACCTCAAACACTTAATAGAAAGAGAGGTATTCAGCTTGTATTGGCAATGACAAGTCTTTACAGTGAGACTTTGCTGTCTTAGTCCTTTTAACATCAGTATTAGAAATGACTAGATAGATTATACAGTTGAAAACACCTTTTGGCCTCATATGTTTATTTTGTAGTATACCTCAGGTAACCTGGCTACCTAATTTGTTGTCCCTCACGTATGTAATCATATTTCACAATGCTGCTGCTACAGTATGTCAGTATGCATCTAATGTGAAAGAGGGATGAGCGGACTGTGATTTGTTAAGAGAGGTTAAGTGAGAAAAATGTTTTGCCTTATGTATTTGAATACCCATCACTTCCTGCATATCTCTGAGTAAGCATTGTACTGTAAGTGGGAGTTAAAGTAATGTACCATTCCTAACATTGTATCACCTCAATGTAGGTTGACTTGATGTAACACTATAGGATGCATTATATACTGTAGTTTTTTCAGTCCAAAAATTGTTTTTGCTTGTCTCTAAAAAACTTTTTACTTCACGGGTAGGTTTTTGTAAGTGAAACGTTTGTTTGGAAGAGCAATAAAAAGGTAAATTTGCAAATGTGTCTCTTTTCTGTCTTATTTTTAAAATTGAGCTGATACATTTCAACAACAAAAATGGCACATTTTGTTAAAATTATATTCATTCCGAATGTATCCTGTTTTCTTGGCGCCATGTACATTTTTATATGGTCACACGAATGGTTGTTACGCTAATGTATAAAACATCCAGAAATGACTACACTTCAAAGTGTGAGCGTTCGTTGGTGCCTTAATCGGCTCTCCGGGGAATTTCCTAATAAGCTTCTGTAATTTCGAAACCACACTGAGCTGCACTGTGGCTACTGTGCATCTGTAAACTCAATCTGGGCTCTAGTGAGCACCTCTACTTTGAGCACTCTAAGGCAGGTTCGTCACAATTAATGAACATTTTCCTTTTTTTTAAGCACCAGGATGCAGATCTCTAGTGACACTCATTCATTGGCTTTCATTTTCTAGTGTAGGACAGTACAGTATGTGAAACAAATAAATCCTTTGTCCCACCTGTTTCAAAACAGGCCTGATGACTAGCAGTATGTCTAAATGAGATTTCCCTCTGTTCAGCGAAATAGTGTTAATGCAATGGTTTCCCGATTCAAGCTTCTAGAGGTCTTTGCCTCTAATAGTCCTGTTAGGAAGAGATTATATTTGACAGGTACCTGTACAGTATGTTAGCCTTTTATCCATCTTGAATGTTTATTTGCCTTGGACAAGAGTCAGTCCTGATTGATGTATTGTTCTGTTTTAATAAAAATCATGTCTTTATCAGTAAACCAAAATGTCAGATCTTGAAACATGATTTTTTTTTGCAATCTAGTGCATTAAGGAAAGCACTTTACATTAAGATCAACACTACACCAGAACACTAACGGAACACTAAGAATTACTGCTTTGAGGTTTAGCAGTTTGTTGCATTTAAATAAATGAAAACTTGAGCTGATTTCATTGGATTTTTACACTGTAGTACTGTTGCCCAGCTGTATTCCATCCTGTTAAAGATGTAATTATTTTGTGCCAAGTTTCAGTGGTCACAATGGTATATGGCATTGCTATACTGTATATATTGAGTGGCCACTTTTATAAGGTACATCTACCTAACTGTAATTTAATAGTAAGTTGGTCCCCCAGTTAAGGGCAGGTGTACTGTACCTAATGAACTGGCCACTCAGTGTACTTAATGTATTATATACTGTACTATTACATACTAAATTATTTATCCATCTTTTAACACTTCCGTCACATATATAAGAAACGACTGCAATGAAAAAGACATGGCAAAAAGAATAACTAGTCCTGGTTTCTTTTAGAAATGTAGATTTACAGGACATAGATGCACAATATTTACTAGAGGTCCATAGTGTCTGGGTTTTTGTTCCACTTAAATTCTTTAGTGACATGACTTTAAATGTCTTCAGCTTCTGATAATTCATGACACTTAGAACTCTCAAGAACTGTATCCTTTGAATACCCGTGGGTTCATATGATAGGTTTTGCGCATTAGCGGGAAAAAAATAAATAACAGCCATTTTAAAAGCACTCGGTTTATTTGAAGACTTCACAAAAAGAAAGCTCTAGCTCAGTCCGTGGTATGGTTTATGTGCCTGTCTGAAGAGACTCCTCTCACTCCCTGGGCTTGATCTGCTCGATGGGCAGCTGCAGCTGAATGGAGTTTCTCAGCCGTCTCAGGTCCTCTTCAACCTGCAGCCGAAAAACACCACACAATAAACCTCAGAGCCCACTCCCAACAGACACAGCAACCAGCAGAGGACTGCTATACTGCACAGGCACTTTCATACAGAGCTTCTTTTATAAATGTTTGTGGTCTAGCCAACTTTAAAGCACTAACCAGTTATCACTAAGCAACCTGTAGTCTATTTCACTCGTTTAAAATGTTTGCTTCATTTTATTAAAAAAGTACATATCATTAAACAACAACTTGCTTTATTAAAATTAAAATAATCATACTTGGATTACACGTTATATTATATACAGTATATGTTAATATAGTTATGTATTAAAACTATTGCTTTTCTAATATTACAAGACATGATTATTATGAACTTAAACGCATAGATATAATAAGCACAACAAAACATTACTTTCTGAAGTTCATATTAATCATTATTGGATAGAACAGCACAGAATGAACCAAGACAATTGCCTCTTTGCATTAATTTTTGAAAAATTACATGTGAATAAACCTACAGTAATTATACATTTCCAATCTTGGAAAAGCCATAGCTGAAATAACCGTTCTTGCTGCTTGTACTCATTAATATATTATTAACAGAAACTTGTTAATGAGCTGAGTTATCCCTAGAGTCTGAGTAATTCATGGAATTGAATGGCAATCTTAATATTGCAGGAGATTGATATGCAACCAATTCAGTCAAGTTTATATATATATATTATTTACAAATGACTGGTCCACTGTTTAAAACAAACCTCAAAAACTTTACTGATTTAACAGGGGAGAGGATATAATAATTCCTACTGTGTTTCAAAGAAAAAGACAGATTGGAAACCTATACAGACATTGCCCACATTGGAAGTAATGGCATCTGCCAGTCTGCACTCCAGAAAGACATTCTTACTGGTTATTGGGTCACTGGCTACTTAGAAGCAATGTTATGCATTTTATTAAAGTGTACAGTATATGCTCTGCCTTTACCCTCCTCAGCTTCAGCATGCATTTTAATCAATTTGGATGATGCAATAAAAAAAACATAAAAGATGAAAGTCTACAGCCAAGTGGAATTCTAGCAAAAACCCTAAAGGGTAAATAGAAGCTCACTCAGAATAATTACAGTACATGATACTTCATGTTTTCCTAAATACACACCCCTACATTTTCCTATTGCATTTTGTGGTAACTATTGTGATTGTTGATCTTTATAAATATTAGGTCTGTGTTTTCAGTACATTCTTTATTTTAATTTTGAGCAGTTTGCATATCAGCATGGGATTCACTAACTGGCATGTTTAATCACTGGATAGTCAGGCAAGTATCACAAACTCTCTCTATATAACACTGATAAAGTTGATAAAATAAAGAGCTGGTATAAGCCACAAGACAATGGGATTGGTGAGTTCAGTGAACTCCATTTAGCAGAATTATGCATATAGTTTCTCATTTTTCTAGGACAGCTCATTTATTAAAATAAGATTTAATATGATTATACTTTTTATGTCAATCTGAGTTGAATATCCATCCACATCTGATTTAAAAAGTACAGTTCTTTTCCAATAGAGTTCATTATGGAATCCCAAAAGATATTCTTTTTAGATTTTCAGATCCTAATACAACATCTGAGGGACAGTACAAGTGTAGGAGTGAGAAGAGGCGGACAGTACTGTTGCAGAGTGCTTTTTATCTTTGATGAAATGATACAGTACCAAAGCCAATTCTTCTTTTAATTTGTTGTACTTCTGCACATCAAATCGTTGCCTCTTGGATACTTTGTAGAGATCATGGAGAAACTGCCTGTCTTTCATGTCAGGGTACACATAGTCCTGTTGACAAAAGAAAACAGAAAATCCTTATTGTCTCTGTAAAATAATTCAGTCAAATGCAGTGGTTAACCTGCAGCTACTGTATATCCAGGTTGAATATTCTTCTCTTGATATGAAATTCTAAAGCCAACACCTAAACCCGTTTGGTTACGAATATCATTTTAATGCTTGGGAGAAAATCAATTTCTGGGATGCTTTTTTACCAGGATTTTTACAACCTCAGGGTGTAACATTGTTCTTCAGTTTTGCAAGCAGTATATGTGTGAATCATTTTAAAAACACATTTTTAAGTCTTCCTGTAGCTGGGATTTATACATCTCAAATTTAAGAATATTTTAAAGTTATAAATATTTCCGTCAGTAGAGCTGACATCTTTGTCCAAAGAATGTGCATTGTTATTGTGTTTGACTGATGCAATAACAGTATCTGAGCAGTATATGTAGTCTCTGTGCATGTTTTTAGCTGTAAATAAAGAGCACCCATTGTCTTAATAACTGGGCTGATCTGACCAGAGTCTACAATATATTGTCAAAATCATATCAGCCTGCCTAGATGCAGTATACAGTATGGGTTCCCACAAACAGCTAGGGTACTTATGAATGTACTTTGAGTATTGCACCACCAGAACTGTTGAATACTGGAAAGAATAACCATAGTTGTATGGGCTATTTTCTAATGAGGTTACAGCACATGGCACATTAGAGTTTACATTGCTGGAGAGAAAGGAGTTCCTTTACCTGCTTTGTCAGGATGAAGTAGGCCAGGGCTCCCATGCTAGTGGAATATGTGATGAAGTAAGTGACGGGCTCCATGATGTCCCAAGAGTACACCCACCATGTGAGCCAGGCCAGAGCGCCCCCCTGGGCTGACAGCAGGGCTATTCCAACCCACATCAGCGTGCTTGACCTGAACTCTGCTTTCCTCACTACCTGGGACTTCACCTGGATTGAAGAAATGGACATCCCCATGGGTAACTGGAGCTACTCTCAGCACCTCAACAAAGTTTCAGGCACGTGCCTTTGTCTTTGTTTTCATTCAATTATTTGAAAGGTTTTGTGTAACCCATCTTGGCTTACAGTTTCGAACCTGGTGCGACACCGATACTGGTTTAAAGATTTTATGCCAGCCTTGTTTATATTAGAAATCTAAATATGCTAGTGTCAAGGAGTTATCAGCACACTACATTTCTGAAGATAATGTTTATTTTTTCATAATACTTTTGTGATGGTGAAGCTGTCCATAGGGTTAATATCTCTGTTGATTTTGATTACTGGAATCAATAGTCTTCTCTGCTTTAATCTAAAAAAGATTTAGTTCTTTTAGTTTGTCACAGTAGGATTTTCCACTGAGCCTAGAAGTAAATGTGCCTGGACAGATTCCAGAGCAACAATATCTTATTTGTAGTAAGGTAATCAATACCATACACAACATGTTAAATAAGGTTTAACAAAGCATTTTGCAATTTTACCACCACATCACTTGAAATAGTTTTTAGGCTTTTGCCTACCTTTGTATAGTTTAACATTCTCTTTGACTTTTTATTGCTTCCTCTCATTACAATGTATTTATTTATATTTAGATCCATCAAAATAAACCTAAGTCTTCTTCATGGGCAGCCTTTCTCAAAAATGTTCCTAAAATATTAATATACCATATCATCATACAGTATACAGATGCAGCCATTCAAAGTTCGTGGTACAAACCCATACCGCATGCAACCAAGCGTGCCACCGTGCCGTACCACGGTATGTGATTGGCTGGCCAAAATGACCGACAGGGACACTCATGGTGCATTGGTCGGTAGTGAAAAGATTTAGTCATTTAATCTCTTTACTGTGCACATTTAAATCCGCTTAGTATTGAATATTTATATGGAATTTTACAACTAAAGGGAAATTTTAGTTGCTAAGCATAAAAAGAATAGGAGCATAACGCATCTAAAGGTCATAAACGATATTAATTTAGGAACATAAACATATTATGTAAACTGTATATTGCTGGTCTTGGTAGTTTTAAGAAAAAATACACACCAGTATTCAATTTCTCCCTAAACATCTTAAGCATCAAAGTCTTACATGTGGTTATTTTGGAAACGTTTTAACGTGCTCCTTCTGACCATATTACTGTACGTTTATACAGTATACTTTGTGAACAGTGATCGTTTTAACCTTTTCTGTGAAAACGCTCGCTATTGGAGTAAACAAAAGCATACTTTTAGAATTGGATTAATAGGGAATATAATATGGATTCGATAGATTCAAATTAACATTTCTTTGAAAAACTAAAATAGCAAATATTATGGGCACTATATGTATATTTCTAAATATCACAACATGTTCGAAGCTAAGTCATTTATTAATAACAAAGAATAATTTCAAACTGCTACTGACATTATTACTGACAAATATTATCGACACTATATTGAATTTGTTTATCTTTCTAAATATCACAAAACATTCAAAGTTAAGTGATTGCAATTTTCCATGAATATTTGCGCTCGTTATCACAGTAAAAGAAACTCATACTTTTCAGAATGTAATTATTTTGGAAACGTTTTTACGTGCTCCTTCTGACCATACTGTTTATATACTTTGTGAGAAAAGTGATATTTTAACCTTTTCTGCTAATATGTTCGCTATTGGAGTAAACAAAAGCATACTTAAAGAATTTGATTAATAGGGAATATAATATGGAATCGCATTATCTAAAGAGCATGCTTGCCAGCGCGGTATTCACCGCATTTCCCCTCTGAATAGCTACTAAATAGGCAGTGAAAACATTTGTCTGTCTGTCCGTGGGGGGAAGGGGGACTGTCTTTCATTGGAAGGTACTGTATGCCTGTTCTACTCTGACAATGTAGGGGGGAGGAAAAGTGCCCATGGTCTTTTCACTGATAAACTTGTGTTAAAAAAAAACTACAGAATGCTTAATAGTTGTTAAACCGGTTTTTATTTATTTTTCGGCTAGAGCAATTCACAATTCACACTCAACCACATCATAGATCACAGATCAGTCCCAGTGTATGAGATATTGCTGTTTGATCTATGCTTGATCTGAGCTTTAATAGATTGCTTTTCTCTATTAATATAACTATCAAGCGGTATTAAATGCAACTTTTTTTGTATAGATTTATTTACTTATATCTAAAAATTATTTAAAAATAAAAAACGATTACAATTGTGCCTGTAGCATTTTCATGAAACCTCCTAGAGTTACAAAAACATTTGCTGCGTGTACAAAGTACATTGTGACTGTTTTCAGTCTTCACCATGTCGTTTTTAAGCCATTTAAAAAGAAATGCTTTTCCGTTTTAATTAATCCAAACATTTCTGGCTCCAGTATGCCAAACAACATGGTCTTTAACATCATCCCTGAAGGAACTGTGAGATAGTTTTTAACTGCACTGCATTGGGGAGAATCAGTATACCTTCTGGGAAATATATTTTTCCTGCATCAAAGTTTAACTCATTTAGAGCACCACACACACACACACACACACACACACACCA